AACACAAACCTGCGTACGCACACAGGGTGCAGACTTTCCACTACCAGAATCTACCAGGTCGATCCTAAGCATTTAATCGAACCCAAGTTCATCACTGTCTTGCCAACTTCCATTCTCTGTCGCTGTAGATCGGGTGTTTATTCATTCAGTAATGGGCGCACCAATCGATTGACGTATTACAGGAAACACAGAGGAGCGTATGGGTAGCAAAGGTTACGAACAGACACCCAAATATCAGGCTGAACTGAAGGGGGAATAAGCCCGAAATAGACCGTATCAAGCTCCCCGCATTTTTGTCAGCCTTCCCCTCTTTAATTATAAATAGGCTAAGTTCGACCTGGTATACGGTTGCCTTTTGCTGACCTCTGCCACTGGGGTCTACCAAATGCGTCATAGGAGCTTCATTGAACCGAAGTTCATCAGTTCCTCGCCAAGTGCAACGATCTGTGGCTACAAACAGGGTACTTATTCACTCAGGAATAGGCTCACACTGATCCAGTGGCTTCTCGAAGCAAACAAGATTAGTATGGGCGGTAGGGGGTCACGAAAAAACAAACAATTCCCAGGCCAAAGTCGACCAAGGTATGATAGTAGAAGGAAACGACAGATTTTGTGGGTAATTGGATAAAATACTGTCTCGGACTCATACATGTATACTGGCAAAAGCAGGGGGGGTGGAACGGTCGTTTCTGGCTTATTAGCTTTCAGTAGCTAGTCATAGCCATAAAGATGATATTGTCCCCCAAATTGACGCAGCTCGACGAGTTTTATCCGGCCTTCGAAAATACCTATGGATCAGACTCGATATTTCTATCCCCACAAAGGTCCGCGTGTACCGTGCATCTGTACGGTCTATTCTTCTATAGGGATGCGAATGCTGGCCTATGCGTGCGGGAGATGAACGGAAACTGGAAGTATTTGACCACTACTGCTTGAAGACCATTCTTCGAGTTAAGTTCCCCGACTTCGTCTCAAATGAGACAGTCCGTACTCGCTACGACACCACAAGGATTTTTCAGGTAATCCAAGAAAGACAGCTGAGGTGGTTTGGACACATTCTTTGCCGTCAACCTCATGAGCTCAGTGTTATTGTCCTCGACCCGAAACCGTTACCTAACTGAAAACGTCGAAATGGAGGTCAGCTCAAAACCTGGCTAAACGCAGTTCGCCAGGACATGAAATTGGTTCTTGGAACTTCGGTCTCCGACGCTTGCGAAAGGAATGACTCGAACTGTCCAGGTCTGCTGCCACGGATTATCGCGCGTGGAAAAGTATCATCATAGAAATAATCGAGGCCGGCTAGATCAGTAATGATCGCAAACGCAACAAGTACAATTAGCACACACCCGGATCCGGGTGTTGGCACCCCAGGGTCTCAAACCCGCGATCCAACGCCCAGGCTCATTGTCGGTATGGCGCTCACCGATCGCGTGACTTAACCAACAGCCGCACAGCGGCTAGTATCATGGGCAGAACAACCCTACCGACCAGTTTTAGAATCTATACGTATCAACGAGAGAGAACATAAGAACAGTCGCCCACAGCCTCGATGATGCCCGTGAGTAAACTTACCGGTCCTACTTTAAAATTGGTTAGTTCACAGCCCGAAATCATATTTTTCCGACAGAGCACAGTTTGATAAACACTTGGCGGCCAGTTTAATGCACTTTAGACCCTATTTAAAGTACATCGGGATAGTTATCGTCGAGAGTCCGATCAGGTATACTTAAGCAGAATGGATTTTGGCGATTTTCGCATGAAAATCGATTAAAGAGAAATTCTAATGGTAAGTGGATCCTTCTCAGTGTTCGGTGTCCTAACCGCTACTTACGCCTACAGGAGCAGGAAACACCGATCTCGACAGCCACGTGCGACGCAACGTGGGAAAGCCTTCGTAAGTGACTAATTAGTCTTGAAATATGCGATATAGTATAATCTGAAACAGTTGTGACAGGTTCCGTGTTCGAAGTCCACATTTGTGAAAGCGTCACCATAACGTCTGGTAAGGATGGGAATATATCCGACATCAAGACCCGAAATCGAAGC